GTCTAGAGGGAAATGTATACCACTAAATGCCCAAAAGAGAAAACTGGAAAGATCTAAAATCGACACCCTAATGTCACAATTAAAAGAACTAGAGAAGCAAGAACAAACGAATTCAAAAGCCAGCAGAAGACAAGAAATAACTAAGATCAGAGTAGAACTGAAGGAGATAGAGACATGAACAACCCTTCAAAAAAATCAGTGAATCTAGGAGCTGGCTTTCTGAAAGATCAACAGAATAGATAGACTGCTAGCCAGACTAATAAAGACAAAAAGAGAAGAATCAAATAGATGCAATAAAAAATGATAAAGGGGATATCACCACCAATCCCATAGTAATACAAACTACCATCAGAGAATACTGTAAACACCTCTATGCAAATAAATCAAAAAATCTAGAATAAATGGATAAATTCCTGGACACTTAAACCTTCCCAAGACTGAACCAGGAAGAAGTCAAATCCCTGAATAGACCAATAACAAGGTCTGAAATTGGAGCAGCAATTAATAGCCTACCAACCAAAAAAAGTCCAGGACAAGATGGTTTCTCAGCCAAATTCTACCAGGAGTACAAAGAGGAGCTAGTACCATTTCTTCTGAAACTATTCCAAACAATACAAAAAGGGAATCCTCCCTAACTCATTTTATGAGGCCAACACCATCCTGACACCAAAACCTGGCAGAGATACAACTAAAAAAGAAAATTTCAGGCCAATATCCCTGATGAACATTGAGGCAAAAATCCTCAATAAAATACTGGCAAACCAAATCCAACAGCACATCAAAAAGCTTATCCATCACAATCAAGCCGGCCTCATCCCTGGGATGCAAGGCTGGTTAAACATACACAAGTCAATAAACATAATTCATCACATAAACAGAACCAAAGACAAAACTCAAATGATTATCTCAGTGGATGCAGGGAAGGCCGCCGATAAAATTCAACACCCCTTTATGCTAAAACCTCTCAATAAATTAGTATTGATGGAACGTATCTCAAAATAATAAGAATCATTTATGACAAACCCACAGCCTATATCATACTGAATGAGCAAAAACTAGAAGCATTCCCTTTGAAAACCAGCACAAGACAAGGATGCCCTCTCTCACCGCTCCAGTTCAACATAAACTTGGAAGTTCTGGCCACGGCAATCAGGCAAGAGAAAGAAATAAAAGGTATTCAAATAGGTAAAGAGGAAGTCAACCTGCAGATAACATGATTGTATACTTAGAAGACCCCATCATCTCAGCCCAAAATCTCAAGCTGATAAGCAACTTCAGCAAAGTCTCAGGATACAAAATCAATGTGCAAAAATCACAAGCATTCCTATACCCCAATAACAGAGAGCCAAATCATGAGTGAATTCCCATTCACAATTGATACAAAGATAATTAAATACCTTGGAATACAACTTACAAGGGATGTGAAGGACCTCTTCAAGGAGAACTATAAACCACTGCTCAAGGAAATAAGAGATGACACAACAAATGGAAAAACATTCCATGCTCATGGTTAGGAAGAATCAATATCTTGAAAATGGCCATACTGCCCAAAGTAATTTATAGATTCAATGCTATTCCCATCAAGCTACCATTGACTTTCTTCACAGAATTGTAAAAAAAACCCTTAAATTTCATATGGAACCAATAAAGGGCCCATATAGACAAGACAATTCTAAGCAAAAAATAAATAAATAAAGCTGGAGGCAACACACTACCTGACTTCAAACTATACTACAGGGCTGGGTGCGGTGGCTCAAGCCTGTAATCCCAGCACTTTGGGAGGCCGAGGTGGGTGAATCACGAGGTCAAGAGATCGAGACCATTCTGGTCAACATGGTGAAACCCTGTCTCTATTAAAAATACAAAAAATTAGCTGGGCACAGTGGCACGTGCCTGTAATCCCAGCCACTCAGGAGGCTGAGGCAGGAGAATTGCCTGAACCCAGGAGGTGGAGGTTGCAGTGAGCCGAGATTGCGCCATTGCACGCCAGCCTGGGTAACAAGAGTGAAACTCCGTCTCAAAAAAAAAAAACTATACTACAAGGCTACAGTAATCAAAACAGCATGGTCCTCGTACTAAAAAAGATACATAGACCAATGCAACAGAACAGAGGCCTCAGATATAATGCCACACACCTCCAACTGTCTGATCTCTGGCAAACCTGACAAAAACAATCAATGGGGAAAGAATTCCCTATTTAATAAATGGTGGTGGAAAAACTGGCTAGCCATGTGCAGAAAACTGAAACTGGATCCCTTTCTTACACCTTATACAAAAATTAACTGAAGATGGATTAAAGATTTAAACATAAGACCTAAAACCATAAAAACCCTAGAAGAAAACCTAGGCAAAGACTATGTCCATTCTGGACATAGGCATGGGCAAAGACTTCATGACTAAAACACCAAAAGCAATGACAATGAAAGCCAAGATACACAAAGGGGATCTAATTAAACTAAAGAGCTTCTGCACAGCAAAAGAAAATATCATCAGAGGGAACAAGCAACCTACAGAATAGGAGAAAAATGCTGCAGTTTACCCATCTGACAAAAGGCTAATATCCAGAATCTACAAAGAACTTAAACAAATTTACAGGAAAAAAAGCAAACAACCCCATCAAAAAGTGGGCAGAGGATATGAACAGACACTTCTCAAAAGGAGACATTTATGTAGCCAACAAACATATGAAAAAAAAGCTCATTATCACTGGTCATTAAGAGAAATGCAAATTAAAACCACAATGAGATACCACCTCATGCCAGTTAGAATGGCAATCATTGAAAAGTCAGGAAACAACAGTTGCTGGAGAGGATGTGGAGAAATAGGAATGCTTTTACACTTTCGGTGGGAGTGTAAATTAGTTCAACCATTGTGGAAGACAGTGTAGCGATTCCTCAAGGATCTAGAACTAGAAATACCATTTGACCCAGCAATCCCATTACTGGGTATATACCCAACAAAGTATAAATCATTATAAAGACATATGCACACATATTTCTTGCAGCACTGTACACAATAAAAAAGACTTGGAACCGACCTAAATGTCCATTAATGATAGACTGGATTAAAAAAATATGGCACATATACACCATGGAATACTATGCAGCCATAAAAAAGGATGAGGTCAAGTCCTTTGCAGGGACATGGATGAAGCTGGAAACCATCATTCTCAGCAAACTGACACAAGAACAGAAAACCAGATACCACATGTTCTCATTCATAAGTGGGAGTTGAACAATGAGAGTACATGGACACAAGGAGGGGAACATCACATACCACAGCCTGTCAGCAGGTAGAGGGTGAGGGGAGGGATCACATTAGAAGAAATCTACCTAACGTAGATGACAGGGTGATGGATACAGCCAACCACCATCTCACATGTATACCTATGTAACAAACCTGCATGTTCTACACATGTACCCACAGCAACCTCCAGTCCTGCACCTCCATTCATAGGAAGTGCCCCGTACAGATGAACCGTCTTTGATCTTTCATACTGTACTTTAACTGTACCTTTTCTATGCGTAGATATATTTAGATACACAAATCCTTCCCATTGCGTTACGATTGCCTACAGTATTCAGTACAATAACATGCTGCACAGGTTTGTGTCTTAGGAGGAACAGGCTATGCCATTTAGCCCAGGTGCATAGTAGGCCAGACCACCTAGGTTTGTGTGAGTGCAAACACTCTGTGATGTTCGCACAAGATGAAATCACCTAATGACAAGTTTCTTAGAACACATCCCTCTTAAGGATTGCCTGACTGTATACTCGAGTCTCTCAGAAAAACCGATGATACACTGAGCTAGACACAGAACATAAATATCACAAATACTGTGTGAAATTGGACAGTACCTGGGAGCAATCCAGCTCCAGGAGGGTCAGAAAACAAGCCACAGAGTTTCAGGTTTCTTGCACTTCCTGTGTTTCCACTTTGCTTTTCTTGTTTTTTTATTGTTTTAATTTTGTTTGTAGAGATAAGGTCTCCCTATGTTGCTCAGGCTGGTCTCAAGCAATCCTCCTGCCTTGATCTCCCAATTCCTTATTTTTTAGTAAGTTTTTTTTTTTAAAGGTTTTTACCAGTCTTAACTGTCTTTAGGAGAGCTGTGGAAGGGAGTTTTTTCTAACTGGTACAAAACGGCCTGGAGTTTGTTCTAAGCTTGCACAAAGATGCTTGCTATCATTATAACCATCACCATCATCAAACAAAGCCGTAACAGTAGGAACTGAATTGTGAGGATGTGCTGGAGACTCGGAAGAACAGAGGTCTAAGGTCCACGTTAGCAAGTTTATCCCCTGGAGAATCTCTTTCAGCGTTAGAGCTTAGAGATCCTCATGTCTATTTCATTTATAAAGTCTGGCCTTCCTTTTCATTACCCCTGCTACATCTGCAGCCTGTTAAGCCTTACACTTTTTTAAGTGTAAAAAGTGTTGCTTTCTCCAGTGCAAAGCAGGAGATAGACTCTCAGTAAAGAAGATGTATGTAACTATTACATGCATGATCTGCTTTAATACTTCCATAAAGGAAGTCCATAAGGTCCAGTTATAGGGACCTTATAACTGATGAGAAATTAAGGTTCAGAGAGATAAAATAATTTGTTCAAAGTAAGAGAGCTAGAATTGGCAGAACAGGGATTTCATAGTCATCTGTATGACCCTCAAATTATGTTTTTAGTTACTAGATCACACTGTCTTATGAGATGTTTTACAGTCAATTCTTAAGAAACCTGTGCTAAACAATTACCCCCTGATTTGGCAGCCTGGAAAGAAGGGAGGGGAGGGGAGGGGAGGGGATAAATGGAGGGGAGGGGAGGGGAGGGGAGGGAAGGGGATAGGAGGGGAAGGAAAGGGAAGGAAAGGGAGGGAAAGGGAGGGAAAGGGAGGGGAGGGGAGGGGAGGTGAGGGGAGGGAAGCCATCATCAACCAGTCTCCATTTTTCACCTTCAAGTTCTCAGGAACAATAGCAAAATATAGTAAGTTTCTCTGACAGACCATGCACTAAGGGCTTTGTATGATTAATCTCATCTTAGTCCTCACAGCCTTATGTCATCCCACTGCTTTTATTCCTAATATACTGACGGGAAGTGGTGGCTGAGAAGCTTAGGTCACTTAACAAGTTAGCAGTAGATCTGGGATCAGAAGCAGATTGGCAGATCCTAAGCCATGCCCTCTACCCACCTAAGAACTCAGCACCCTGATCCAATATGTCTCTTCTCCATGCATCTCCTTCTAGGGACACTTTCTAAGCATCCCTTGATACCATTTCGAGTTTCGAATCGGAATGTCTCGGAAAACTGGTTAACCATCCATGTAGCCCAGTTAGCATATCCTGGGGCTCCACCTCCTGGTTCAGAATCAGTTTCATCAACTATTTTCCTCAACCATTGAACACCTGCCAGATTCACCTCCTGCACCTGAGCTCGTTGACTGCTCCTAGCAATGTTGTGTGGTAGAAGTTTCTCCCCTGTCATCCTCATTTCAGACAGGGGCCCCATGGCTCGGAGAGTTTGTGTTAACAGAGCTAGTGCACTGGAAAGCCAGGGCTTGAGTTCAGCTCTCTGGATTCCGTGTCTCCGTTCTTTGTATCATGTTGACAGCTGGTTCTCAGGAGTGTATAATCCAGCCCTCCTCACTCCAGTTGCATTAGAAATCTGGTCCTATTTCCTATGGCTCAAATCCTCCTCTCAAGCCCTACTTCCTTTCCCAGAGGCAGAGCCTGGTTCACACTTTAAGAGGCGGGACCCCGAGGGGCACAGGAGTGGGTGGCAGGGGGACACCTTTTGGCCATCAGTCTGAACATGGTGTCTTTTTTCTACCTCTAATCTCTCACCATAGTCCTACCAAACATCATATCCATTTCCTACCTTCAAAGTCACTGAGAGAGTGTCCTCTTTGGAACAGCAACCACTTCCCTTGCCTACCCTCCCAGCATATCTGTTCCAACCTCCCGCCCTCGGCTCCTGGGCAGACCCACCCATCCCAGACACACACCTGGTAGCTGTCAGGCAGCCTTCTGCATTTTAAAGTTTTCAGCAAACGTAATAAGAGTTTCCTTTCCACCCAGGTTGGGAAAACCATCCCATCCTGAAAGACCGGACCACAAGCCTCTTAATACTTGCTGAAACAGAAGTAAAAAGTAAAAGGGTTTCTTAGTCTGGGGGCACCATTGGCCTGGCAAACTTACTTCCCATGCTCTTCACTGGAGAGGAGGGAGTTGGAGCCGGAGTGTGTGGGTTGGTAAGAGCTACCCCCTCCCTGTTTTTCTTGGTGTCGATTAGCATAATTGAAAAGGCAAGGGGAAAAAACTGCTATTTATGTGACTGCTTTCGCTTTAAACTTGTCCGTCTTTGGAGGCTGATTATGGCCAAGTGACCCATATTTTAAAAACATTTACAATAAAATGATGCATTTTCTTTTTGTACCATTAGCTTCCCTGCTGAAAAGCAGAAATGCTTTAAAATTGTCCCTTTTTGTTAGCAGTAATGGCTGTGCTATATTTCGGCTCATCCCCCTCGTGGGCATAGAAAGGGAAGGGTAATAAAGGGCACAGCTGTAGACACTTTATGGCCTGCTTGGGGTGGGGTGGGGGGAGGGGGAGTGGAGGCAAGAAACAGATTGACTGTGTGTCAACAAATGCAGCTGGGAAAGAGAAAGCTCTTAAAGACCTCTGCAACTTAAAGTCCTGGATAAATGATGTTCCTATTTGGAAAGGAAAAAAAATGGAGGTGAAATTCAATAAAGGATGGCTGAAAAGAGAAGGGTTCCAAAGGCCTTTCTCTGCAGCTAGGCAGCTCCCAAGAGAAATGAGCAAAAGTGGCCATAGGCAACAGGGGTGGGGGGAGCTGCAGTCCAGAGACAACAAAGGCCCATCCTGGCCAATGCATTACAACGCCAGGGTTGGCCAAGCTGGGCCCTGATGAGCCCTGCCAAGGTGGGGGTGGAAACGGTGGAGTTGAAAGAAATGCCCCAGGAAATCCTAACAGTTATGCTTCAGGCCATGCTTATGCCTTGCATTTGAGGAAGAAAAAGGCAGAAAATAGATGACCCCATAGGGGAGAGACTGAGTCAGGTTATGATAGAAAAAACATTGCTCTGGGGGTCAGGAGACAGACGGAGCCCCAGCTCTGGCACCGACCAGCTTTCCGAGGTAACCATGCCCATGAGCAGTGTCAGCCCCAGATCTATATGTAGGTCCTTGATTGGTGATGAAAACTTGCCCTTCCAGCGTCTCACAGGAGTCTCACCAGCACCCTGGGAAGCAAGTTGGGATCCTTGGCTCCACAATCTGCATATCAGAAAACTAAGTGTCAAGGAGATAAAGTGCTTGCTGAGGGTCACACAGGTAACAAATCAAAGAAGCTATGTTCATCTCCAGGAGAACCCCTTCCTTCTTTTTCCATTCCATTGGCCTCGGCTAATGGAGAGAGAAGCTTTCCTTCCTAAGAACCCCATAGGGAAACCCTCCAGGAAGGAGCTGTGTCTTCTGGGCACCAACTTGAAAGCAAATTTTGTCTGTTAGAAAGCAAGGAGCAGAACCCTCACTCAGTCTGGCTTAAACAAGAAGGGAATCTATTAACTCACAAAACCTATAAGCCCCAGAGGGATCCAGCAGCTCCACGCTGATAAGGAAAGCATCACTCCTCTCTGTCACTCCAGAGAGAGCTTCACCTTGAAGCTAGTAGCCAAATGGCAGAAATTCCAGGCATAACATTCAGCCATGACAATATCCGAGAAGGTTACCTTTCCCCGCAACTCCCTCTTATGAGTAAGAAAACTTCCTAACAGACTTCCTGAAGATTCCTTGGACAGAATTGGGTCATCTGCCCATTCCTGAACCAATTATCAAGGGGAGTGGGATTACCCTTAGTTAATAAAAGTCTTTACATGGAAACGGGGCTCAGGTCAGCTCTCCCTGAAGCCCATGATGAGGACTGGAGACATGAGATAGGATTCTGCTGGAAAGAAAGTTGTAGAAACAAATTTTGGTAGGCAACCAATAGTGACCCCTGAACCAATAGCATCCATGAAAGAGGTTTGAGAAATACGTGGCTCTATGTACCTGCTGGAATGGCAAAAATAAAGATGAAATGTGCCTCAAAATGAGACAATGCATATTAAGTACTTAGCCTAACACCAAGCACACGGTACGTGATCAATAAATAGTATCTGTTATTATTATTATTGTTCTTTTGAGATGGAGTTTTGCTCTTTGTTGCTCAGGCTGCAGTACAGTGGTGTGATCTCGGCTCACTGCAACCTCCACCTCCCAGGTTCAAGCAATTCTCCTGTCTCAGCCTCCTGAGTAGCTGGGATTACAGATGCCCTGCCTCCACGCCTGGCTAATTTTTGTATTTTTAGTAGAGACGGGGTTTCACCATATTGGCCAGGCTGGTCTCGAACTCCTGACCTCAGATAATCCGCCCACCTCAGCCTCCCAAACTGCTGGGATTATAGGAATGAGCCACTGTGCACGGTCTATTATTGTTATTGATAACAACACAACTTGATTGCAATGAGCCAGAGTAGGCCAGGAGAAAGTGGAAGGCTCGATGGGGTAACTTAAACCAATGTTTCTCAAACTTTACTGGAGCTCTTTTATGGGGCTTTACTGGAGATCCCCTGGGGACCTGCTAAAATAAAAATTCTAACTCAGTAGGCCTGAGAGTCTGCATTCCTAACCCATCACCGGTGAAGGCAGTGATGCTGGTCTGCAGACCGCACCTTGAGAAGCAAGGCTCTAGGTTTCAGGGAAGGCATAAATCAGAGGAATTGGAGAGAAGTAGAGGGGAGGGGTTCTCCCACAGGTGGTGGCAACAAATCTAGAGCTGTAATGTTCCAAAACTGTTATCAAGACTGCATTTAAAGCTGGTGTCACTTAAGAAACATAATTACAAAATGACTGGTTACCACATATTATTAGCAAGAATTAGGCAAGTCTGGACTATACTGTTTTGATTAAAACAACAAACAAATATGTAGGGTGTTTTTAAAACACTTGTTCTGCTGTCTTATTAAATACACGTCCTTATGAGGTAGATTTTAGCATTATTCCCATTTTATAGAGACTTCAATGAATTTGCCCAAAGTCAATCACATAAGTGACTGAAATTAGATTAGATTTCCAGGTTGTCTGACTCTACTTTTTTTTTTTGAGTTGAAGTCTTGCTCGGTTGCCAGGCTGGAGTGCAGTGCTGCAGTCTTGGCTCACTGCAACCTCTGCTTCCCAGGTTCAAGAAATTCTCCTGCCTCAGCCTCCCGAGCAGCTGGGACTACAAGCAAATGCCACCATACCTGGCTAATTTTTTATATTTTAGTAGAGACGGGGTTTCACCATGTTAGCCAGGATGGTCTCGATCTCCTGACCTATGATCCACCTGCCTTGGCCTCCCAAAGTACTGGAATTACAGGCATGAGCCACCACACCCAGCCTGGCTCTACATGTTTTTTTTTTTTTTTTTTTAGTATTTCAAGATTTTGTTTAAGTGCAATGATCCAGGATGGATTTTAGATCTTGTTAAAAACAGCCACACCCATAGGCTACACACAATCCTCAAAAGCAGCAATCTGCTTCTCCAGCCTATCTGTTCCAACTTTATAATCTTCAACCACACAGTGTATTTGAAGTTTCTTAATTCTGTATTCCACTGGAACTAGTTTGGATGAGCCCCAGACTAAGCCGTCTGCTTGAATGCTTCAGACACACTCCTTCAATTTCGCCATATCTGCCTCATCATCCCAAGGTTCATATCTAGTAAGATGAAAGATGTGGCAAAAAGTCCAGTTTTTTTCTTTTAGGTTTGATGAGCCTCTCTAAATTTTGCACTTATCATATATTCTTTCTTTTATGGATCTTATTTTACTGTTCTCTTTTTTTATTTTTTTTTTGAGACAGAGTCTCACTCTGTCACCCAGGCTGGAGTGCAGTGGCATGATCTTGGCTGCAACTTCTGCCTTTCGGGTTCAAGTGATTCTCCTGCCTCAGTCTCCTGAGTAGGTGGAATTACAGGCACCCACCACCACACCCGGCTAATTTTTGTATTTTAATAGAGAGGGGTTTCATCATATTGGTCAGGCTGGTCTCAAACTCCTGACCTCAAGTGACCCACCTGCCTCGGTCTCCCAAAGTGCTGGGATTACAGGCATGAGCCACCACACCTGGCCTTAAGTGCAGGTTTTTTGGCTTTCTTGTATTCACATTGTACAAGGCATTCTTCCCTTAGCCTCTTTGCTTCTTCACTTTCCTCCTCATCAGATCCAAGGAGATCAATGTCATCATCATCTTTACTGTCTCTATCTCCACTTCCTGTAGGGTCTTCCACATCAGCAGGACCATACCTGTCCACAGCTTTCTTCACTCCTGGCAGGCTGGCCTTTTCCTTTTCATAAGACTTGGTGTAATTATACCAACTTAGGGCACAACCCGAGTCTGCAGGCGGTGGGCCAGACACCGCTTCAAATACTGCCACATCTGCTTGTGATGGCACATACCCCTTGATGTAGCTCTTGTCCACTAGGTCATCATTGAGCACCTGGAGGCTGGCAGGCTTTTTAGGTCTCTGAAACCCATGGTGTTATTGGCTATATCCAAGAGCTGGGAGCAGCAGAGAGAGAGAGAGAGTGCAAGTCGTGGGTGCCCAGAGCTGAGAGAGGAAGAAGTGACATTTTAAAAAAATTCCTCTAACATTTTATCACCCAAGCTTCCACTCCCCAGCATAAAAATAAACCTTGTTTCATCTATAGATCTAGATCCTGTCTTTGACTGACTCCTCCTCCGACTTGCTACAGCAAGACCCTGGTTCCAACGATCCTCAGAGTGTTTCTGGAGATCCCCATAAAGTACTGCATGTATTCGCAAAATTAAGATAACCATCTGTAAAGCTTACGCTACATATATGTAGGTAAGTATTGTTTCAATATTTCTTCCTCCGCATCCTCACTTGTGTACCTAGTATCCAGCCACACTTCCCTAGTCACCATTCCTGGAACATCTGATGGACCTGTTATACCTACCCAAGCTCCTCTCCAGGGATGAATCCCAACTTCTCTGCTTGGTGAACTCCGCTTTCAAAATCCACCTCAAAGTCACCTCCTCTGTGAAGCTAAGAGGGCCTATTATTTCTAATTTATTCACTCAACACGTTTTATAAAGTGCCTGCCAGGAGCCAGAGTATGAGGATTAAAATGAATGAACATACGTAGAGCTTAGCTCAATGCCCAGCACCCTAAAAGCACTGCATAGGAGTCCGTTATGATGCCCACGATGACGATGCTGCTGCTGCTTGTGGGTCTGAGAGAGAGGACGAACGCACAATCCACGATCCAAGGGGCCTTGCGCTGCTGAGAAAGGCCCATAGGAAATCCCAATACCGTGCAACTTGAGCTTTGTTAAAAGGCACAGGGCACTTTTTCACACGGACGGGAAACTTTTTTTTAACCTCTTGCAGAACCGGTTCTGGGCATAGAATGGAGCAGTATAAATACAAATAAATACACATTCCAAGAAGCTGCTAAAGCTCTAACCTTTCTGTACTACACTTTGGAAGTGCCAGTTTACACCAGGCTCGCCAGTCGAAGAGCCCACGGTCCAGCTGGACCACCCAGCCTGCTCAGGACACCCGCCTCATGAGTGGCAGCGCCAGGACTCAGGTCCAGATCCGACTCGGAAGCCTCCCCAGGGAAGTACGCCCCGGACCCCTGGAGACCCACATCGTCCGGTGTGTTTTCCTTTCACAACACTTCCCACAGCCTGTAATTACATGATTATATATTTGGGGGCATGTGTTTACTGTCTGTCTCCCTAACTGTGCTGTCAGCGTTTTGTTCACCACTGGGTTCTCAGGGCTGGGCGCTCAGGAAAGGTTCAGAGAGATCTGTGTTCAGGGAACTGGGGAGGGCGGGGTTCTAGTGAGGAACAGCTGGGCCCGGAGAGGGGGTGGGCGGGACCTGAGAGAGAAGCTGCTGGGCCAGGAGTCTCCTCCCAGCACTCTGCCGAGGGCAACCCTGAGAATCTAAGACACTCAGGGATGAATAGCCCTTGTCGGACGGGCAGCCAGCCCCCTCCAGCCAGACCATCCTCCACCATGTCCACACTGAGCTTTCAGAAAATGTGTATTTAACCGTTGTTGTGGCTCTTTCCTGTCTTCAGAATAAAATCCAAATCCTAAATGCAAGATTATAAGCATCTTTATTCAGTTCTATTTCAAATGCTTATTATTTTGCAGATTTTTAAAAATTAAGCATTAAAAGTTACTTTAATAAAGCAACTCACGCCTATGTGATAAAAATTCACAAAACTAAATACACTCACAAGTGTAAAACTGGTGACATCTGTATAAATCTGGCGGGTTGTATCAATGTTAATTTCCTGACGGTGATAATGTAATGTAGCCATGCACCATATTTCATTTGTTTGATTTCTCACAACTACATATGACTCTAAAACGACCTCCAAGTACTTTTTATAAATTTACATATATACAGAAAATAGTTGCCAATAAACTATTTTTTAAGTATAATTTTTATGCATACCTCGTGTTCCCTGAAAGGTACTTGAAGGCAAAAACAAGGTCTGATTAATTTTTATAACAGCAGTAGAAGCTAGTAGCTTCGTACATAGCACAAATGGATTTCAAAGAATTATCAGGCCACACAGTTCAGTGCCTAGCTCAATGATTAAGCTTGTGGGCCCTTTTAAGGCCGTGGGAGAGACCCTTGCAAAAGGTTCATGTGATCATATACTTTTGTAGTTTAAAAATTAAGCCATTTTAGTGGCCATCTATTGAGATCACTGTTTCTTTTCATTCTAACTTTCCTTTATCAAATTCCTCTTCCATCGGGTGGCAATGTCCTGGCTCAGGGTATTTTGGGGCCTTGCTAAGGGGAGATTGAGTTGGTAATTACCCATTTTAATCACACTTTGGAAAGATGCTCTGGGGACTTTTCAGTAAAACAGGTGAGAAATTTGTAGTCTCTTGATGTGGTATCTTGCCTCTTGTGTGATATGAAGGGTATCTTTTAGTTTTCACATCTTTAAATATAGTATTGAAATCCTCTAGAAAAAATTCCTAGAGTAAAAAATAGCACTTGCAACAAAAAGAAAGATGAGCAATAAAACCAAAGAAAATTATTCTGACACTGAGAAGCATACCAAAATCAATTTCAGAAGCTACCAGAACAAACAGACAAAAAAAGAAATGACCAGAACATAATTAATTGAGAATAAGAGACACATTTCAAATAACAACAATAGTCACGCTTTTGGCTTGCTCAATAATCTAATTATAAGAGGGAATTACAGGGACCCACTGGGAATAGATGTAAATTTGCTTATTGATTTGCTAAGGAATACGAACAACTATGAAGATAATATCAAGCGCCTGACACACACTACAGTGAAGACACTGAGGACATATTGGTTATGGACGTTATCAGTCCAATGAGTCACTGTGCATTAAGCATTCACTGTGCAAGAAAACTTTAGCTGCCCTGAAAGCTTGCAGTTCATTCACGATAGGAACTTGATATTTCCTCAAATTTGATAACAATCCTAAAAAAACTTATATCACTTGTATGTGACATTTGTTACGGAGTTGAAACAAAGAATTCCAAACTTTCCATATAAAAACAAATTATGTTTTTATTTTGATTTTCATTTATTATTATTTTTTGAAACAGAGTCTCTTTCTATCCCTCAGGCTGGAGTGCAGAGTGCCATCTTGGCTCACCGCAGCCTCTGACTCCCTGGTTCAAGTGATTCTTCCACCTCGGCTTCCCAAGTAGCTACGATTAGAGGCACACGCCATCCTGCCTGGCTAATTTTTGTATTTTTAGTAGAGATGGGGTTTTGCTATGTTGGCCAGACTGATCTCGAACTCCTGACGTCAGGTGATCTGCCTGCCTTGGCCTCCCAAAGTGCTGGGATTACAGGCATGAGCCACCATACCCGGCCTCCATATAAAAACAAATTATGATCAACTACAAGAGAAAGAGAGAGGCTGATTATCTTTCTATTTTCTCTATGGAAAATGTAACAAAATCCTTGTTTATACAAAGATGTGTCTTAGTCCATTAGGGTTACTATAACAGAAGACCTTAGACTGGGTATTTTATAAACGATAGAAATGTATTGCACACAGTTTTGGAGGCTGGGAAGTTCAAGATCAAGGTGCCAGCAAACTCAATGTCTGGTGAGGGCTTGCTCTCTGAGTCAAAGATGGCACCCTCTTGCTGAGTCCTTACGTAGTGGCAGGGACAAATGAGCTCCCTTGAGCCACTTTTGTAAGGGTACTAGTCCCACTCATGAGGGTGGGGTATCATGAGTGAGTCACTTCCCAAAGGCCCAATCTTTTAATACTATTACATTGGAAATTAGGTTCCAACATAAAAATGCTGAGGGAACACCAACATTTAGACCTTAGCAAGGTGATTAAAAATTATGCAGCCAAATACAGCAGGAAAATGATTATAATAGAGGATGTCAAAACATTAATAAAAAATATTAGGTATTTTTGTGAATCTTGTGATGTTCATGGTACTAGACAACTTCATAAAATTTGTATTTAAGCATTTACTTTAATATCTAACTTGGCATTCATAGTTTTTATATTCTTTTCTTAGAGAACCAAGAACTATAGAAGCATCAGGCCTCCCAAATCTGGATCTGCCTCCATCTCTGTAATCCAAGGGCATACGCTGCCTCTGCTTACCTTGTCAACCCCAGCTTCCACCACCAGCCACCATCCCCAACCATGCAGACACTCCCAGGAATTCCAAGCACCAGCACCTCACATTTGTTACTTCATTTAATCTTCACACAAACCATTTTAGCTAGATTCTATTTTTATTCCTACACTGACAGATTAATGGCAGAACAGGGGTTTGAACCTAGGTAGCTTGGTTCCAGCGTCCATGCTATTAACAACAACACTTGGTTTCCTCTCGATATTGGTCAAATCATCTTTAAAATTTATCACAAACTACTAACAGTGCTAGAGATATAGAGGCATTATCATTTTATCTCATAACAACCTCCGGAGAGTCTTGAGACTCTTCACTTCCATGTAAGAAATGCTAAGGATCCATCAGTCAGGATAGGCTAGGACATGCTGCAGAAACAAATTCCACAATCTCTGTAACAATGATGTTGTTTTTCAACTCCTGTTCTATTTGTTCTATTTCCTTCCAGTCATGTGGAAGAAACAGACCAGTAATCCTGCTGTCACAACCTGGCCCGATCGGGGCTGCTCAGATTAGAGATAAGCATGTGATGCTATGGAGAAAAAGTGACAGATGGCACCTAACCTAGCTTTGGAAGGTGAGAAGAGAGTGACAAGGATGCTTTCTTAGGGGAGTTGATGCTTGAATGAGCTGCTTTAGAAAAGAGCAGAAATTAGCAAGGTGGGTGACAGGAGGGAGAGTTCTCTTTTTTTTTTTTTGAGATGGAGTTTTCCTTTTTTGCCCAGGTTGGAGTGCAATGGTGCAATCTTGGCTCAATGCAACTTCCACTTCCCAGGTTCTGGCAGTTCTCCTGCCTCAGCCTCCCAAGTAGCTGGGATTACATGCGCATGCCACCACGCCCGGCTAATGTTTTGTATTTTTAGTAGAGACGGGGTTTCACCATGTTGGTCAGACTGGTCTCGAACTTCTAACCTCAGGTGATTCACCTGCCTCGGCCTCCCAAAGTGCTGGGATTACAGGCGTGAGCCACTGTGCCTGGCCAGGAGGGAGGATTCTCTAAGAAAAGAATTACTGCCCCAAATTTACAGAAGAGAAAACTGAGGCTCCTCCAAGATCACTTATCTCACCAGCAGAGGGCCAGGGATAGACTCAGTGAATTGTTTGCTCTCCCTACAATGTTCTATGTCGGCCTTGCATGCAAATATTTCAATGTGCCTCTTCCCCTACCTGAATCAGAAGCCAGCCCTCCAGCCCACAATGAGGGGGCTCAAAGAGGAAAAGGAGCTGCGGAAGGAAGGCATATGCCAATGAGCCCGTGGAGCTGGGGGTCTGGTGAACTAGCATGTGGAAACCAGCCTGAGCGTTCCTGAGTCCCGGAACAGCCACCCTGGGCTCCAGACCTTCATTTGAATATTTTATGAGCTGGAATGAGCTGAGAAAGAGGGCCTCTGGGGAAGGTAACCTCCTGAAATCCCAGGCTTTCTGGACTCTTTGTTTGGTGCTCCTCCTACTCCTAGCTGCAGCAGTGTTGGGTGTCTGCCCGGTCTACACCTGCCTCCCTGAGAGCTGGCCCCTCCCATCCATCCTCAGAACCTTCTTGGTAATGTCTGTGCCCATCCACCCTAGCCTCAGCTGAGGTGGCCCAGACAGAGATGAAGTACAGACAGGGTAGGACA